AAAGAAAGAAAGAAAGAAAGAAAGAAAGAAAGAAAGAAAGAAAGAAAGAAAGAAAGAAAGAAAGAAAGAAAGAAAGGAAAAAAAAAAACTCAAAATAATTAGCCTGGCATGTTGCCGTGCACCTGTTTTCCCAGCTACTCAGGATGCTGTGGTGGAATCTGAGCCCGGAAGATTGGGCCTGCTATGAGCTGTGATTGTGCCACTGTATTCCAACCTGGGTGACAGAATAAGACCCCCAACTCAAAAATAAAAATAAATAAATAAGTAAATAGGTGAAAAGATATTCCAAAATGTCAATAGTAGTTGTCTCTAGGTGGTGAGAGTAGGGATAATTTTAACCTCCCTATTTGTTAATTTGTAAATGAACATTTACTACATCATTATAAAAAGGACTTTAAAACTATATGCTGTTATTTACAATAGCAAAAACATGAAACCAACCGTGCTGCCCGTTGAAAGAGGACTGGATAAAAAATGTACATATACACGATGGAAAATTACACAGCCATAAAGATGGACAAAATTATGAACTTCGCAGCAACTTGGATGGACTTTGAAGCTATAATACTGAGAGATCTATCACAGAAACATGTTCTCACTCATAAGCGGACCTTGAACAACTATCATACTATAAGAAAAGGATTGGCAGTAGTGAGAAACTGCTAGGGGAGGGGGCAGGGACACCTTATCAACAAGGGTGCCTGCATAATGAACATTTGTATACCTAACCCTGAATTGACCCCACATATTTAAAATTAAAAATTTTTTTTAAACTATGCTATATGTGTAAATGTGTATGTTGCTACTGTAAAGACATTCCCTCACTCCTCTTGACCTCAGTGCATGAGGCTCTTGCTTCGTAATTTTAGGCCTCCTAAGAAAGTCTTTGGGGTTTCAGCGGGCAGAACACTCAAGGAGGAGTGAGAGGCTCCTCCCATTTCTCCCAGCCAACACCAACTCTTCTGACTGCCTCCTAGCACACAATCAAGGGAGAAAACTGCTCTGTCCAAGGGATGGTGCCAAGAGCAAAAACAAAGGTAAGGATGATCGCTGGGGAAGGCTGGGAACTCTGGCTGGAGATTTGGCTTTTCTACCTAGTATACTATGTTATTGAATAGCTGGGCTTTGTTAAATGGGTTGCTTTTAAATGTTAAACCAAGATGTTGTAAACAAGGTTTGCATCAAAGTCCATAAAACAACTCAGCTTATCTCAAGGGAAGAGGAGCCTGGGATTTGACGAGCACTTGATTCAGTTCGTGCTGCTTATTCAGTTACCACTGCTCCAGTGTTTAAAGCCAGTTACCTGACCACACCCTAAGAATTATCTCGCCTTTTGTCCCAGTTAAGCCATATTGATTGATCAACACCTCAACAGGAAACCATGGCAAAGAAGGTGGCAGTGATCGGAGCTGGGGTCAGTGGCCTGATCTCTCTGAAGGGCTGTGTGGACGAGGGGCTCGAGCCCACTTGCTTTGAGAGAACGGAAGATATTAGAGGGCTGTGGAGGTTCACAGTGAGATTTTCTCGGGTCTTTAACAGGTTGTGCTGCTATTTCTGGGTAAATCATAGTTACTGATGGGCCCTGTTGAGGGATTTCTTAAGCGACTTTGATCAGATTTTATTTTAATTATTTATGCAGCTGCACAGAAACCAAAAGCATAGGCTGACACCTCTTCCCAGGCCAACACTTTCCCAGCCCAGGGGCCAACCCAGGATGTGCAGAACCCCTTCTTTTGGATCTGGCAGCCCAGATTTTTGTCATTCTCTAATATACTAGTTAGAAAATATACTGAGATTAGAGAACACTTGACAAAAACAGAAGCAGCGGGAATTCTTTTCAGGACACCCTCTCTGTTTTAGTCACTGAGCCAATACTTCTTCAGAGTGTGTTCTTATCACTATTTACTTTTCTCAGACAACCAATGTTTGTTTGCTGAGCTCTATGGTGACACTCCGGCATAACTGCTATGATACTGCTCATTAAATATGTCTTACTAATTACATTTATTCTGCTAACTGGTCAAACCCCAACATTGATAATCCTAGCTGTCCTGCAGAATTTGTATAAAAATCAGAAATATGGATAGATAGATAGTTATAAAGATTTATAATTATTCCATCTCACAACTTTTGGTCATATGGTCATATTTTTGTAACATTAGGTTCCTTAAATGCACATGGCCTTTGACTAGATATTAGCTTGCTACCTCCTACCTGTAAGATCTTGAGCAAGTCATTTGCATCCTGTGCCTCAGTTTACTCAGTTGCATGAGGGATAATAACAGAAAAGTGTGGTTATCTCATAATGCCGTTTTGAAGATTAAGGGAGATAATTCATAGAAAGAACTTAGCACAGTTCTTGACTCATAATAGAGTTCAGCAAATGTTAGTACTAATAAAAACTATATATTTGATAGATAAGCAAACAAAATGAGGAAGGTTAAGTGAGCTGGCCACGGTCACACAACTGGAGGAACTGGCACTCAACCCCACGCCTATGTGACTTCTAAGCAGCTAAGCCCTGATTTATACCCATGACTTCACTTGCATTCTGGCTCAAAAAGATTAAACAAAATTTTTTGTTTTGTTTTTGTCAGATTCTTTCCATAGCCATAAACAAAAGTGTAAATTCAGAACTAAAGAGCAATCAATTTAGGAATAGGTATCAGGTATATCTAAGTGAAGCATTAAAACACATAAGAAAATCTAGATGGAAACTCTGGAAAAGCAGACTTTCATATCAACAGAAACCATCGAAAGGGCTCTCCTCCATGGCTGACCAGGTATGGGGATAACAAAGCCATCTAGCACATGTGCTTTGCCATTTCCAACTGAATCTCATGCCTAAAGGGATTTTTTAAAATATTAAGTGTTTCAAGTGTAGGTGACCATAGACCACACCTAGAGGGGTTCTTGAAGGATTTTGATTCCTGTGCACTAGCCCAGACCTACTGAATCAAATCTTCTGAGGATTTTTTTTTTTTTTTTGAGTTGGAGTCTCACTCTGTCACCCAGACTGGAGTACAGTGGCTGCTCTCGGCCACCGCAGCCTCGACCTGCTGGGCTCTGGTGATCCTTCCAGGCCTCAGCCTTCCGAATACCCGGAATTACAGGTGCGCACTACCACGCCCGGCTGATTTTTTGATTTATTGTAGAGATGAGGTCTCACTGCCCAGGCGGGTCTCGAACCCGCGGGCTCAGGCAATCCACTCACCTCAGCCTCCCAAAAGCGTGGGATTACAGGCTGAGCCACTGAGCCTTCTGAGGATTTTAATAAGAGTTTCAAATGAATCCTATGATGAGACAAGATTGGCAATCATTGCATAAATACCAAATAAGGAAATTATTCATTCAACAGCCCAAACACACTCAGGGTTAATGATGGAGAAGGAAGAAGTCAATCCAATATGAGACAAGTAGCTTTACAGAAAGGAAAAACTGGAAAAACAGCTTGAATCATGTTCGTTTCTTACTAACTATTCTTTAGAATCATTATAGCTTTTCCTGAGAGAGTAATATAATATGGTGATCATTCTTGTCTTAACTAAAGATACTTTTGTCTACTTTAGGTTCACATATAAATTTCAGTTTGGATTTGTTTGGTCCCCAGGTAGATTTTTAACTTAAGAAAGAAATGTAGAAATTACAGTTGTTCCTCTTAAATGTAGGAGATTGGTTCCAGGAAGACCAAAATCCACACAGAGGCAAGTCCTGCACAGGGAACATGCCTGTAGGAAAAGATGGTCACCTTGTATACGTGGCTTTCATATCCTGAAAGTACTGTCTTTTCCATCCACGTTTGTTTGAAAAAATCCACATATAAAATTAGCCCATGCAGGTCAAACCCCTGTTGTTGAAGGGTCAACTGCATAACAAATTTCTGTTTAATAAGTTTAATAATAAATTTGTAGCTATTTTGTTTGATTAACTGATTTGGGATCTACTGTTTAAGAACCAAATATCCTTTATTTGGTTAGCATTATTATCAGCAAAAAAGGTGAGAGTTATTTTGAGTGGTCTGTCAAAAGTATGATTTGGTGAATCCAGGAAGCTACTTTTTGTCCCCAAATATTTCTCTTATTGCCATTGACTAAAATTTCGGCATTAGATATACCTTCCTGTGGTATCTCTATGCTAGAAAAGTTAATTTAAAATCAGAATTAAGTCTTACTGGATATTTAAGGGTTAAGTGGGTAGCTCTGGCCAGCAACATCTCATTTTTCTTCACAATACCCCTAGGCAGTAGGTATTTCAACGATCCTCATTTGCATGTTAAAGAAACTGAGGATTGGGATAAATAATTTGCCAAGATGGTGGTAAAAGAACAAAAATGGAGGTCTGTACAAGTCCTGTGCCCTCACACTTAATAACCTCACTGAAGTATTGAGAAAGGAAAGCAGGGTCTTCCTTCAGCCTCTTACCTTCTCTGCCTTCTCTATTGCTCTTAATACCTCATATTCAGAGGGAAGTTACCAATATGCATTGCTTTTGTTTGCTAGTTTGCTTTTAATATTTGGATCTCCTCTTTTGCCAGCTATGTATGATCAGTTATTTTAACTAATCTTCGTATATTAGCCCTTAGTCTTTTCTCTAGGTTCAAATTTAATTTTCTTTCTTAAAATGTGACTCCCCCAAGATTCAATATTCCAGACAAATTTATTTTATCAACATATTTTTTTTGTAAAACCAAAGAGGTTCTAGGCACTGCATTAGACAATGGAGAATGAATCAGACACAATCACTACTCTCAATGAATTTATAATCAACTGATTTGACAATGACTCACCTTGGCTTACCCTGCACTTGGCCTGGATGCTACACCTCTCCTAAAATGCTTCAAGATTGTATTAGCTTTTCCTGCATTCACAAACAAAAACTACCATTTGTATAATTATTTTTGCACTATCTCTTTTTATATTCACAATAACCTACTACACTGGTCATTATTAATTCCAACTGAACTGTGAGAAAGTTCAGGCAAGTGGCTTGCCCATGACTTATAAGTGGTAGGTGAGGATCGTAGAACCAGTCACAGTATTGAGCTTAACTGTACATGAGTTCACCATCATGTCTCCTTTCACATCATTCATACCAATCTGAGACTAATTCAAACCCTGGGAACGTTTTTATCTGAGCCATTGGGAACCAGGTCACTATTACCCTATCTTCGTGAAACTGATTTTTCAACTCTATTTATAAGAATTCACATTTATATATATTAAACATTATTTAGGTGGTTTCATCCTTAGTTGGGGAAAATGTATTTGAAATTTCAATCATCTGTCATTTTTTCTTTGCCTCCCTGCTTTGAGTATGCACAAACTTGGTCATCTCTATTCATCTACATCAACGTTATTGATCAAAATGTTCATCATAGGAAGGTAAAAATGTAAAACAGCTGTCTGGGATATCATGTGGTGCCATCTCCACACTAACCTAAGCATCCACTCCATCTGTTTTTCTATCCCTCACAACCTCTCTTCCTTTTTAATTGGCATGTGTTTATCAACAGCACATTCTGTTCTCTTAGAGTATAACATCATACAGAACTAGCTTAGAAAAAACAGTCATTTCCTTTCCAGAAGAGATAGCCGTCTTACCCTTGTTTTACTTGCAGACGTTTTCTTAGATAAGCTTATCCAATGAATCTACCATAGCACAGCAATTTTCCAGCAATCAAATATTAAATACCATGGTCCTTTAGACCTCTTCACCAATAGTCTAAGATATACTTTAATTAATTCTCTATAATATTTTTAAAGAAGAAATGTTTTCATGCATAGAACAGAAAAAAGTTTGTGGCATCCTATCAGCAAAACAATTTATTTATTCCCATCATGCTACTGAATGCCCATTTTAGTATCACTAAACCCTATTTGCAGTGATGAAAAAATGCTTCTGATTAACATTACTCATTCTTTTGTTCATTCAACAAGTATATTGACTGACTGCCTACTATGCCCCTGATGTATACTATGTGCTCAAAATACAGAAATGCACAGTCCTTGCTGTCAACGGGGAAGAATACAAAAGAAAATATACATCAGAATGCAGTTTTATAAGGGCTGAAACACTAAGTATTAATGAAGCGCAAAACCTCACTAGCAGAGCACAGGGCAGACTTTCTCAAGGGCTGATGCTGTTTTGCATATTTGTCTTGACAATGAGTAGAGATCAGGCATGTGAATATGGAGAAACCAGGTTCCAGGCAGAGCAAATGGCATATGCAGAAATATAGAAGCTTAAGAACCAAATGCACTTAGAAACTAGAAAGTCACATGATACAACTGGAATGAAGCATGCAGGTTGGTGAATGATGACTAATAAGGCTAGAGGGAATAATCAGAATTTGATCATGAGGAGATTGTGCCCAGTGTAAATGAGTACATCCTCTGCCCTGAAGGCAATAGAGGAAGTGGTCAACACCTGAGTTTAATTAAGAGGCTCTTTGTGATCAAGGCCAGTGATCTGGGAGGTACCACCCTAAGGGAAAGACAACAAAATGTTGCAATACTTTAACAGACATGGCAGTTCACAAAGCTCATTACTCGTCAGAGTCAGCTGGAGAGCACTTCTAAATTGCCTAACTTGGGCCCTTACCAGGTCAACTCAGATTTTATATTTTCCAAAGTTCTCTGAATTCTTCTAATGCAACTGGTCCATTGTCTCGCATCTGGGAATCAGAATTTTGCCTCTAATTGTAGGTCAAAGAAGTAAGGAGAGTTTGATCATGTTCAATTCAAGTAATGAAACAAATAGATGTAAGGTCTGTCTGAAAGAGTGAAAAGATAAAATGATAGAATACTTTTTAAAGAAATGCAATTTTATTATTTCCAACTGCTTATAGCCATGAAAGCAAAGTACTGATTGGTAAAGCTCAGTATAATAATGTTTCCTAAAGAAAAAGGTTAATGTGTAAGTTTTTGTAATTCACATTTACAAGTGAATCTATTTTTTGTTTTTGTTTGCATCTTTGAGATTAGGTATTACCCTCACAATCTCCCTTAAACATGGTTTAGTTTTTACAACCTTCTTATTTTCATAGAGTCAAACATAAACTTGAGTCCAGCCCATGATCAAAACATTACAAATTCTTGATACTATCAGTTTCAATTTAAATTTTTTTTTAAATCATGAATTCTAAACTAGTGCTATCTGAACTAACTCGGTTTTGATACAGTTTTCTGATATTCTGATTTTTTTTCTTTTTTAGTCTGAGCCTCATTTTGTTACCCAGGCTGTAGTACAGTGGCATGATCATGGTTCACCACAGCCTTGGTCTCCTGGGCTCGGGTGATCCTCCCACCTCAGTCTCTCGAGTAGCTGGATCTCCAGGAATGCATTACCATGCCTAGCTAATTTTTTAAATCTTTTTTGTAGAAATGAGGTCTCACTGTATTGTCCAGGCTTGTCTAGAATTCCTGGGCTCAAAAAATCCTCCTACCTTGGCCTCCCAAAGTGCTGGGCTTACAGGTGTGAGCCTATACACCAAGACTTGAAAATTCTATATTAGAAGAAATCTCTATTATAGATCATTTGTCTTAAATAAGTGAATTGTAGCAAATTCTATCAATAAGGAAATTCAGACTATCTCCAAAACCCAAGCACATTTTACTTCAATACAGTGATAAGCTCCATGAGGATAGAAACTAAGTTTGTCCTGTTTGCATCTTATCTCTAACTCCAGGCTTAGAACCTAGGCAGGACAAACATTTGATGCTTACTTGTCTATTAAGTCAAACATCTTCCTTTCATAATGCTGGGAAAATTAAGCCAATTTTACCCAGATTAGTCTAAATACATAGAAATCTACTTCAGCCAACTAAATGAAGAAAGAAGCACCTATAAAGACAAAGCTTTATTTCAACAGCTGTCTACCAACCAATCCAGCAATAAAGATTATCACTTGGTCTTCAGAAAAACAACTGTGGTGTCATTATTGTTTGCTGATAAACCTCACAAGTAAAGCCCCCAAAGGAGAAATTTCCTTGGCCCTAAAATTACTATTACTAAAATTACCAGTTCTTCTCATGACTCAAAATTCCCTTAGAATTGACTTGACAGAGAGGCCCACCACATTTTAAAGCCAATTTATTCGGTGCTAAAAAACGAACATTCTGGCTACAGTACAACAGTACTGGTTTAACTAATTCAAAACCATGGCTGGTTTGATAAATGTAACTCTGGTGGCCGGTCATAATAGAAAAGAAGCAAGAAATATGGAACACTTATTTGGAGCCAGACATTGTGCTCAGCACTTCATCTAATCAAATTAAAGCCTCAAAGCAATTATTTGATGTTGGAGTTATTAACGAGTCAATTTTACAGGGGGAAATGAGGAAAAGAACTTATGTAACATGTTCCTGGTTACAAAGTCACTGAAAGTGGCAGAATCAGGGTATCAACCCAGTAAGTCTGACTCCAGAGTCCTCATGTCTCTCGCTACTCTGTACTATCTTGAGAAAAATTAGTATTTCTTTGCTTCATGAAATATTTCCTATTTTAAGAACTTGGTTGGATAAGAAACTCAGACATGGTTTGCCAAGGACATTGCATTCAATCATGCTGAAATACCCAGAAAGAGTTTACACATCATTTGACTTTACTATTATGCAATTTGAAGCTAGTGTTTGAAAATAAAACTCATCCAGAGTTTTCCCTGTGTTCATGTCTAACTCCAAAGGTCAAGCCTCTTCTGCTAGTCTAGGCTGCCTCTCTCAGTGTTGTCAAGAATCTATAGAGCCTTAATCTAAATATCTGTCAGGAAAGTAATGATGTGCTATGCATAATAATGAGAAAGGAACATGTATAACTGAGTTATTGTGGTGTCTGGAATAGAAGTAAATATTTACTTTCCTTATTTTAGCACTCTCTGGAAAAGACTATGGTCTTGTTTATGGAAGATTAAGTAATTTATTTCAATTAATGACTACAAGCTTTCCATCTCTTTCCACCTGCCCCAGTGCTTAGTCAAAATAGCAACTACTATTTCCCTGGATTATGCCTTAGTCTCTGCATATGCAGAAGCATCTATAGAAGAGGTCTTGAGTAGCATTATTTGAATTTTCTTATAAAAACCTCTTTGAGAATATGCTGATTTCAGGGACACTGAATCACCACTCTTGGCTCTTTTCATGATTTAGCATAAAGGACATTACGCAAAGCACTACTTGCAAAGGAAATTATAAACTCAACCACAGCATGTGCTGCCTCGGGTTTTACCAAAACACACTTGCTAACAATAAGATTCAAGTTTGATATTTGAGTGGTGTCATGCTGCTCACCTTTGACACTTGAAGAAGGTTGATTTGTATAAAGCATACAGTGAAGGCAAAGAAATTCAAATCGAGATGTGAAAATTCCTTGCCCCCCAAAGTACTCATTTTACTTGAAAGTCTCTATTATGTTCTCTGACCAGTGTTCCTGTGTTTACTGTTTTCTAAAGGGGTCAAGGATGTGTATAGCCTTCCCAGGGAAACTTAGGAAGTAAGTTGGTTGTCACAAAGACTGACATTAAATAGGTGAAGAGTTTTTGGGATGCTAAATGTCCTGCAGCGTGCCAAAGAATTGTCCCTATCCCCAATTCCACCAATGCTAACAACAGTGAACAACACTGGCAGGCAACAAATGTTTCCTGTCATACAGAATGCTGGAGCACATACAATGCAGTTCATCACCTAAACACGTTATCCTACTACATACTACATGGTATTCATACTACAAGTGCCACAATGAAAGACAAGTGCATCACTCAGGGCTAGATGTGAGAAAAGGAGTAGGAAACCAAATAATGTTTCATGCATAATCATCACTAATTTTTTGTTTGTTTTGTTGTTGTTGTTTTGGTTTTTTATAGAAAGTAGAACTTATTGAGGGGACAGAAAAGCACCTGCGGTGGGAGGGGACCCGAGGGGGTTGTCTCATCACTAATTATTTTATTTGGTCCTTTAGGAAAATGTGGAAGAAGGCCGAGCAAGTATCTATCAATCTGTCATCACCAACACCAGCAAAGAAATGTCTTGTTTCAGTGACTTTCCAATGCCTGAAAATTTTCCAAATTTCCTGCACAATTCTATACTTCTGGAATATTTCAGGATTTTTGCCAAAAATTTTGACCTTTTAAAATATATTCAGTTCCAGGTACTGTATTTTGTGGGGAAGGGTTTTTCTGCATTAGTTCAGCTCATACTTTAAAAGAAAAGTTACTGTGACAATGAAGAAATTGTGAATAAAGTATCCCACTCTAATTCTCTGTAGAAAGATAAGGCATGGTATAAAAAACAAAAAGTAGTGTCCATTGTCCCTCATATTATAGACTGTATACATTAACCAAAGAGGGAAATCATCTGTTAAAGTGAAAGGTTTGAATTATGATGGTATTGATAGCAAAACTGCATCTAAACTTATATCTATTACCAAGTATACTCCTAGCCTAATTTCCCTTGAAAGGACATTATAAGAAAATTAAACTGCTGTTTCATTTTAACTTCTCCATAGAAGTGGGATTTCTTAGAAATATAGTGAATAAACTCACCGCTCTCTGTTCATCTCAGAATCCTGTTGAACCTATTTTTCCTTATAATTATTTTCTAGATGCAACCTCTAGCAACATAAAGATGGTCAGATCATTTTGAAATACACTTAGAATTACCCCTTCCTGTGCTTCTCTAAAACCAAAGAATCAACAACAACCAAAAATAAAACCCACAACCTTTCATTAAATATGTTGAATTTGTATCAGTAACCTACACTCTGAGAACTAGTAACTGTGTTTAGAAATTAAAATATAAATTGCATTTCTGGGTAAATAACAATCAGAGAGGCTTGTTTTTTATGTTTACTTCTTCTGAGTTGGAGTTTCACTCCATCTCTCAGGCTGGAGTGTAGTGGCACACTCATAACTACCCCAGCATCAACCTACTGGGCTCTGGCGATCCTTCTGCCTCAGCTTTCCAAGTAGCCGGAACTACAGGCGCGCGCTACAACACCCGGCTATTTTTTTTTTTAATTGTAGAGACAAGATCTCACCAAGTTGCCCAGGCTAGTCTCAAACCCTCAGGCTCAGGCAATCCACTTGCCTCAGCCTCCCAAAGTGCTGGGACTACAGGCTGAGCCACCGAGCCTGGCAGAGGCTTATATTTTAACACATCTCATCTTCTCAATAATTCTAGCTTGTATTACATTAATTTATAATAGTTATTTTGATGAAAATCTATATTTGTAAACACCATTAAAATGTCTGGTTCTTCCCGTTGCTTTCCCCCAATCCCTGGAAGATCCTTCCTATGGGTAACAGATTATTTTACCAGAAGCTTTTGTAGCTTTGTCTACTTAGCTATCAATCTACTCTACAAACATGTTACCCTTGTCTAACATGATTTATATTATCTGTTCTTTTGAAGATCATGTCAGAGTTACAAGGGAGTTGTTTCTCTTGGTTATTGTGTTACTGCTGCTATGGTTTTCTGAAGCCTGGAGAAGTATTGTGTATTGGTCTCTGAGTCGGTATACTTCATACATGTCAGGGTTCAACTCAAGAAGCAGGCAAACTGTGAATGGCCCTGTTGCTTAGAGTGCTAATGTAATCTACATTAGTACTTTTCAAACTTAACTATGCACATGAATCACCTGGAGAGCTTGTTAAAATGTGATCCTGATTTAATAGGCATAGGGTGGGGTCTGAGATTCTGCACATCTAACAAGCTCTGGGTGACAGTGAAGTTCCTTAGAGCTCATTTTGAATTGAAAGGATCTATAATACTTTAGTTAAGATACACTCTGAACTACACATCTGAAATCTTTACTCTCAGCTGACAGTAAATGCTCAGACATTTTAAAGCTCTTTCACAAGCTCTCTACTGATATTCCATAACATTTGCAAGTTAAGATAGCTTCAAAAATTACCAGCCCATCATTTTGAAAGGTATCTGAAAACTTGAAAGCATTTATAGACTTAAGCACATGCAAACAAAAGAGATGCATGTCATTCCTCTAGAAGTGTAACAAACTTTGTTTCCATTTGACATTGTTTCTTAAATACAGCAGAAACGTAACATTTATGTACACATTTTAAAATGGGCCTCCAGTGAGCTACATTTTTTAAAAAATCAATGAAGCAATAAGTTGTTTCATTTGAATGAGATCATGAACTATAGGGCTAACATGACATACTCTGTTTCAAAAATAATTAACTTTGACAACTACCATTAAATGGAGTGCTGGCCATGTGTCAGGCACTCTGCAAAGTAAAATATCTTTCCTAATATAGACTCCGCACAGAGGTGGACACATAAAAGGACCTTTAAATTCTGACTGTGCAATCACTGGAATGATTGCCATGTGTCTTATACCCTTGTCCAGATTATCAACCTAAATAACAAACATAGAGGAGCTCTCTAAGAAAAAAGATACTCACTTGGAAATAGAGCACTGTAATGTGAATGTGCACACCATAGTTAACTCTGTGCATATTAAGGGAGGCATAAGAAGACAAAGGCTTTTAAAGGGGGGGGAAATGGGGAGGATTACATAATTGTTTTGAGACAAATATCTTTGGCTACAAAGATCAATGACAAGGGTGACACCAGTTCGACTTTGGACAAGCAGTTGCTGGGCACATGTTCTTGTGAAAGTATTTTTGTGTAAGGTTACAAATGGTCTTTGTGCGAGACTGTGGTGTTTGTGAGTCTTTTTTGTTTTCAGGCATATAAGCATGACAACACTCTCTTTATGGCCTTCCTCTGCTCTATTTGTCAGGGTTTTCTTAAAACCAGCAACTTATTCAACCATTCACAGATGGGTCCTCATGCTGAGTCAGCCCCTTGCATAAAGCAACCATGGGAAGCATACGCTTGCCCTGTCAAGGTCCATGCTGTGCCAGGGTAATTTCCCATGATGCCTTCTCTGTGTTTGTTCAAGACAACCGTCCTTAGTGTGAAAAAATGCTCAGATTTTTCATCCTCTGGCCAATGGAAGGTCTTCACCCAGAGCAACGGCAAGCAGCAGAGTGCCATCTTTGATGCAGTCATGGTTTGCAGTGGCCACCAAATCCTGCCGCACATCCCACTGAAATCATTTCCAGGTGAGACCTGTGAAGATTTCCAGCTTTATAAAAGAGGTTTCCAGGTGCTTTATTTGCAGTGTAGATTGACAAGATTCACTGCTGCAACTTGGGCATATGTCAAGATTGAGATAGAGCTGGAAAGATAAAAGACTGCAAATACTATCTTTGTTTCTATAGACCACTTTGGGTCTTCACTACAAAGAGAGCTCAGGTAACTTCCTCCAAAGTCACTAAGTCTTCTCCAGAATTTCAGAGAATTCTCATCCAAACTGGTTCTGTGTGAAGAGGTCCTTTGACCTTCCAAACACCTGCTACATCCTTGGAGCCTTTTCCATAGAGTCATGCTCACGGAAGGGGTTACTAGGGAGAGTTTTTGGAAATAAAGGCTCCTGCAGGTTAGTGATGCAAAGAGGAGTGAGTGCAGGAATAGAACCCTGCATCTGTCAGTTCTGGTGCCCTCCAGCCCTTCCCTCAAAGAGCATACTTCCTTCCCTACTTTCAGGATAACATTTAATACAGTGGTTCACACTAAAATACAGCCTCATCTAGAATCACCTGTGGAGCTTCTCAAGCCCTGAAGACTGGGGTCCCAACCCCAAAGACTCAAATGCTATGGGATAGGGCCAGATCAATTCAAACTTACTCAAGTGATATTAATATACATCCAGGATTGAGATTAATCTAAAGTAATGGTTTCTAAATAGAACTACCGGGAAAGCTTTTCAAAGCACAAATTGCCAGGCTCCATCCCCAGTACTTCTGATTCAGTAGGTGCTATGGTTCGAATGTTTGTCCCCTCCAAAACTCCTGTTGAGGCAGTATAGAGAGGTGGGGCCTTTAAGAGGTGTTTGGGTCATGAGTACTCTGCCCTCATGAATGGATTAGTTCATTGCTGGATTAATGAATCAATGGGTTATCATGTGAGTGGAACCAGAGGCTTTATAAGAAGAGGAAGAGAGGCCTGAGCATAGCACATTAGCACACTCAGCCCCTTCACCATTTGATACCCTGGGCCATTAGCAAGAAGACTTTCATCAGATGCCTCCAACTTCTCAGCCTCCAAAACTGTAAGAAATAAATTATTTTCCTTATAAAATATCCAGTTTCAGATATCCTATTAAAAACAATAGAAATACAGTTGTGGTGGCTTACACCTGTAATTCCAGCACTTTGGGAGACGGAGGCAGGAAGACCACTTGAGCCCAGGAGTTTGAGACCAGCCTGGACAACATAGCAAGACCCCCCATCTCTACAAGTTAAAAAATAATTAAATTAAAGTTTTTAAAAATAGAAAATGACCTATGACAACAGGTCTAAGCATGAAGCTGAGAATTTGCATTTTTTGCAAGTTCCCAGGTGATGCCGATTTTGCTGGCCCCAGGACCACACACTCTGAGAACCAATAATCTAAAGACTATTTCAAGCAACCCCACCATCAATGGCAAATACCTTAATAAGGTCATGTGTTCCCAGGAAATGTAAAAGGGGTAACTAGGAAAGGATACAGAAAGGCTGATCTGCAATTAAACACCACGAAGTCACTGACTGCCACATGAAAACCATCTCTCAACTTTTATGTGCCTGTGTTTTTAGTTTATTTTAGTTTTTTGTTTACATTTGCAAAATAAGAATTCTAAATATTATTCTAACTATTACACAATTACAATGATAGGACTTCATAATGTGTTTAAGAAATTTTTTTTGTGTCGACTATGTGACATTAAAGTGTCATTTTACAGTCCAAAATAGTATAACGGGCACTCAGAAATCAGCATCCAACCCTGCTCTGTTCATTAACCTTTGTCTTGTGAATCTGTAAGCTGCAGCCTCTGAAATCCATGCCCTTGGTTCCGTACCATGTGCACGGTACCCAATTTTACTTATGCGTTTCACACCTTGAGTTTGTCATTGACCTTGCTCCTGTAACTCCCATTACAGGGGAGGAGGCCAAAAAAATGAACGACTCCAGAAAGAAAAAACTGGCAATGCAGTGTCCTTGGAATTAGCTTGACATGGTTGCCTAGAAGCCCACAGCCATATCTCTTCTTCCCCCTGCAGGTATCGAGAGGTTCAAAGGCCAGTATTTACACAGCTGCCAATACAAGCACCCAGGTGAATTAGAGGGGAAGCGCATACTGGTGATAGGAATAGGAAACTCGGCCTGCGATATTGCTGTTGAGCTGAGTAAGAAGGCTGCTCAGGTGTGATTCTCTCTGCTGACTTTGGACAGGGGAAAGGAAAGAGGAGGCGTCTGTGGGGAACTCTCACTGTGTACACAAGGCTCCAGGACTCACCAACTGGTTGGCTGGTGGCCCAGTGGGGTATCATGGAAAATATGGAAGTCTAGAAGCCAGTTTACCCAGCTCTGTCACTACCCAGACAGTCACTTCTCTGGGTGATGATTCCCTCATTTTTTAAGTGGAAAAGTTTCAATCAGATGATTTTCAATACAAGAGGCCTTGTTTCTCCCGAGGGGGCTTAATGAGAAGTTGATCTGATTTTTGGGGGTGCCTTTTAGAAATGTAGTGCATTTTTGAGTTATATTTGAAGTCTGGATAATCCTGTTTCCTAAGTATCATGAAAAGAAAGATAAGTAGAGGGTAAGACTCTGACCCAAGATCATAGATATTCAAGTGCTCCCTGGGGCCTCCCAACCTCTGTCGTCTTTGCACTTGCTCAAAAATTATGCCAACTGAGAGTCAAGCATTACAAGATGTAGATGGTGCTGACAGAGATAGTCAGGAATGACAGAACAACTCCTTCTGGAAGGACAGACCTAGGCAAAGAAAGCAAAATATCTATGGCTTCTCTCCCAAAGCATTCTTTCTCAACAAGGCCTGAACCAAACACCCAATCCCTCTGGCACCCACCGCCTCCACCTGGTTCTCTGGCTACACAGGGCTAACCATGGCCATGTCCACAGCCAGCAAACCTTTCACACTCTCAGGGCTGGAGACACCCAGCAGCAAGCATGATAAGCAAACATGAGGCTTGCCCAGAAGGTTAATGACGGGGTTACACTGGGCCTTGTCAAAGTCACTTAAATTAGCCAATGTTGGTCAGAGCCAGCCTGGAAACATAGACGATCACTAACACCCGAAGGAGACTTACTAGACCCAAGAAGTCTTCACCTTTTGTATGAAAAGAAACCATCAAAGCTTTAAGACCTTGCTGTGAAGAACACATGAGGAGGCAGGAACCATGAAAGCTTTTGAGCAGAGCAGAACAGGGAAGTGGGAGGCCCAAGCTCCATGCTTTCACATGAGAGAATACCTGCAAAGCTGAGGAAGGGGCTTAACGGGGCCAGGTGAGCAGAGTGGACATAACAGTCCAGACTACCACACATCGTCAGGACAGTGATCTGGACTGAACACATGTTCAAAAGAGATCAAGGTGTGGACTGCAGGAGGCAGTTCCTCATATGGTCTTGCCATGTAAAAAGCCTGCTTACGGTGCCACATTCAATATTAAGACACTACTTGGGGCCAGGCGTGGTGGTTCAAACCTGTAATCCCCGCTCTTTGGGAAGTCAAGGTGAGTGAATTGCCTGAGCCCACAGGTTCAAGAACAACCTGGGCAACTTGACGAGACCTCATCTCTACAATAAATCAAAAAATTAGTCAGGCGTGGTAGCATACACCTGTAGTTCCAGCTACTTGGAAGACTGAAGTGGAAGGATCACCTGAGCCCAACAAGTCAACACTGGGGTGGCCATGAATGTGCCACTGCACTCCAACCTGGGTGACAGAGTGAGACTCCAGCTCAAAAAACAAACAAACAAAAAGAAGCTACTTGGCAGGAAGCGAGAGGGTTAAGCCCAGGAGTTCGAGACCAGTCTGGGCAACATAGTAATACCTCATCTCTACAAAAATCAAAAAATTAACCAGGTGTGGTGGCAGGCACTTGTAGTCCCAGCTACTTGGGAAACTGAGGCAGCAGGATCATCTGAGCCCAGTAAGTCAAGGTTGTGGTGAGCCATGATCATGCCACTACACTCCAGCCTGGACAACAGAGTGAGACTCCAAAACTCAAAAAATAACATAAGAAAGAATTACCTTGGCTATATTTCTGTACCTTACAGCTCCTTAAACAATCTTTTACAGTGTTTCACTGAGATTTATTAGATTTATAACATAAAGCTATAATTATGATAAAGCCTTTTACACAGAGTATATACTATCAAGTGTTCTGTGAGGAGACTTACCAGAGATTTTATAGGAGCTATGTATATAAGGACAGAAGAAGGTGCATCTGCAAAGCTTGAAATTACAACCTGAACTCACCAAAACCCTGAGTGTGTTCTGTTCTGTCAAACCTGCTCTGTACTCTGTGCTCACCTCCATAGGATACAGCGCCCTCTATCACAATCCGAAAGATGCTATGCGATGGTGCTGCATCATCCACACAGTTCCCAGTCAAACTTCTTTCCTTGGCGTCAAACTTCTTTCCTTGGCTTAAGCATGTATCTCAGAGAAAGCAGCCTGAGCCCAGATAAATCCTCACACATCTCTCATGGTTGCAGCCAGTGGAGCTAGCCAGGGCAGACTCCCCTGCGATAGAGAAGGTCACAACAGAGAGCAAGCAAAGCAGGCAGAGCATCCCATCTGAAACATGGACTGATCCCTAAGGAAGAAGCACTGAAAAGAGACATTAACAGCAATATTTAAGTGTAGCATCTAAACCTAATCACGGTATTGCCAGTACAGCATAAGGGCAACAACAGGAAAAATTTCAGGACACAAATAGATATTACACTCAGACCAGCAATACAAGAATACAAGAATATTTGTTCTAGGTGCTACTTCACAAGCGAAGGGGTTCAGAACTTTCCCCCACAACATTCACTCCAGATGTGAGGCACTGTATGAAACCCCCTCCTCCAGCCTAAATTTACAAAATATTAACAGCTAACAGTGCTCATCACTTGCTAGGCAATACTTTTGTACTTTGTACATATCACCTCGCATAATCTTCACAATAATGCCACGAGATAGGTTCTGTTTCTATCTTCACTTTACAGAGAGAGAAACTGAGGAACAAAAGAGATTTGAAATAGCTCACCCAGGGCAATACAGCTGGTAAGTAGTGGGACAGGGATTCAAATCCAAATAGTCTAGACTCAGAGTCCATGATCTTAACCTCTTAAGTGAATCGCTTTCCTTGCAAGTGTTTGTCAAGTATAGCCCTGAACTGCAGAACTCATAGAATGCATGAAACAATTTGAGAAACAGTTCAAATATGCACTTGGACACTGAGAAAGTAATAGTAAACAAGATAAAATACATAGTATTTGAAAAGAAATTTAAATGTACATTTTGAAAACAAGGACAATTTTAGGTTGCAAGGTAAAGAATACATCTGAAAGAGGAAATGTGCACTTTAAGAGAAAGAGAATCACAGTATAAATTCAGAGTCATGTCTAACCTTTAAAATACAGAATAATGCATATTTACGTACTTAAAATATTAAGTGTGGAAGGAAGGCGATTTCCCTTGTCATCCTCCCTCCAGGAATATACAAATGCCCACACTTATACCTGTGTGGTCATTCAGCTATGATCACACATTTCTGAGGCCTCCAATAGTTCTCCTGTACCATAAAATAAGCTTGGGTGGAGGAACTGAGAGGCAGGAGGAGCAACAAACCACAACTGTAAATATGGGAAAGACTTGTGGGTTTTGTCAATGGTATCAGCCCACAGATTTTCTCATGTCTCCATGAAGTTCTCAAGGCTTCATTGCAGTTTTCCTTGATCAGTACAAATGCTACTAGGTACCCCTGTATAAGAGGTACTTCACCTTAAGGTCAATCATCTTAAACACAGAACCTTAGTAAATTCTGGGACCACACACATAATACATCAACTACCCAGTAGATTTTTTGCAAAAGGAACTATGACCTTATTTAAACCATATCTTTTATGTTTACCAGGTTTTCATCAGTACCAGGCAAGGGTCCTGGGTCATGGGCCATATCTCTGAAGATGGCTATCCTTGGGACATAGTGTTCCACACCCGGTTTAGCTCTATGCTCAAAATGTCCTGCCACGAACAGTTCTAAAATGGATGATGGAACAACAGTTGAATCGGTGGTTAAGCCATGAAAATTATGGTCTTGAGCCTCAAAACAAGTAGAGTAATTTTACTTTTTTATGGTATACTTAATGATAAGCAAGGTTGTTCAAAGATGACTCTCTTTACAAAGATCCAAATTGCTAACATGGTGTTTCAAACTACAAACTAATAGTATAAGTATCGCATAGGTCCTGGAGTTTGAATTCCAAATTTGTTCTGTATCCCTTTAAAAAAGGACTAGAAGATGAAGCAGAAGTGTTATAATCTGCTTCTGACAGCAGAATTAGAGAAGGACTTTGTAATGCCCAGAGCTGTTCAACACTGGAAATAGCTACTTCAAGAGACTACGACCTTCCTTTCAGAGGGTTATGGAGGGAAACATGTAATTCTCCATCTAATAATTTATGTTTTCCTAGCACTATATCTTGAAGTTTCTTCCCATGGGCAACCTTTGAGAACATATTCCTTTCTTTTTGTCAAACGACAAATCTGTGTTGATCTCAAAGTTATATGTCATTGATACTGTAAACACAAGGAAACATTATGAATGCTTATTTTGCATTAGTTAATACAGGCTTCTTCCCTTTAAAAAAAAAAAAAAAAGGTGGGAGGCCAGGCATGGTGGCTCAAGTCTGTAATCCCAGCACTTTGCCCAGCTCAAGTCTGTAATCCCAGCACTTTGGGAGGCCGAGGTGAGGGGATTGCCTGAGCCCACAAGTTTGAGAACAGCCTGAGCAACTTGGCAAGACCTCATCTCTACAATAAATTAAAAAATTAGCCGGAAGTGGGAGCACATGACTGTAGCTCCGACTGCTCGGAAGGCCAAGACAGACGATCGCCAGAGCCCAGTAGGTCGACACTGGGGTGGCCGTGAGCATGCCACTGCACTCCAGCCTGAGCGATGGAGTGAGACTCCAATTCAAAAAAAAAAAAAGAAGAAGAAGAAGAATTTTAGACTTTTTTAACAAATGTCATGTGACTTCTGTATTCTGAGATCTGATACATATGCCATGTATTGTCTTATTTAAAGAAAAAAAATAAAAGAGGCCAGCAGCAGTGGCTCACACCTGTAATCTCAACACTTTGGGAGGCAGGAGAACACTTTGAGGCCAGGAGGTTGAGACCAGTCTGAGCAACAGAGAGACCTCATCTCTACAAAATTTTTTTTCCTGAAAAAAATCAGCTGGGCATGGTAACATGTGCCTGTAGTTCCAGCTACTAGACAGACTGAGGCAGAAAAATCACTTGAGTCCAAGAGTTTGAGGCTGCAGTGAGCTATAATTGTGCCACTGCACTCTAGCCTGGGTGACAGAGTGAGCTCTTATCTCAAAAAAAGAAAATGTTCTCAAATATACCCAAAAAAGGAGGCCCTGGAAATACAAACAGACTTTGCACCAACATCCAGGCTATCATAAACAGAGATTCCGTGGATATCTGGGATTGATAAATCAATCATTTCTTTAAAATATCACTAAATCTAATTTTATACCTTAATTTTGACACTTATCCCTTAATAACTTTCAAAATTAGTGGATATACAGCAATTTTTTTTTACTTAAGCAAAATAATTAAAACTGGATAACATTAAAAAGGATAGAAACAGAAATGATGTGATAACCACCAGAATACGCAGGGACTGACCACAGCACAGGCATTTTGTCTAAGCCCTAGTGGATGCTTTCTTTTTTGAAATCTCTTTCACTCACATCACCTATGTGTTTTCCCTTATTTATTGAGAAGAGATTTGTGATATAAGAAGTCAGAAAATAAGGACTGGGGTACAACAGCTAGTCTCATGCATATTTAGAAAACCCTTTTATTTTCAGAGACCCCCCAAAAAAAGTCAAGAGGGTTAAAGATTCCTCAGTAAACAATCCTTCTGAGTGTCTTTTTTCCTGTGTGTCTCAGATATCTTATGAAAGAATCTGTACTAAATGATGATCTTCCCAGTCATCTACTCTACGGAGTCATCAAAGTGAAACTGAAAATGAAAGAGCTCACAGAAACTTCTGCTATCTTTGAGGATGTTCAGTGGAGAAAGACATTGATGTCATTGTCTTTGCAATGGGATATACTTTCTCTTTTCCCTTCCTTGAAGACTCACTTGTTAAAGTAGAGAATAATATGGTCTCAGTATATAAATACATATTCCCCCCTCACCTGAAGAAGTCAACCCTTGCATGCACTGGTCTCATCCAGCCCCTAGGCTCCATCTTCCCAACTGTTGAACTTCAAGCTCGTTGGGTGATGAGAGTTTTCAAAGGTAAGTGAGTGAGTGAGTGGACAGGTGGGTAGCAAAGGGTTTCAGACCTGACGAGGTTTGCTCTATAACAAAAGTAAAGAAAAAATTTTACAACTTTGGCTGCTCTCACAAGATTAGCTTTCTTGAAAGTTAGTGAGAATTCAAAGAATAAGAGTAATACAGGAATTTAATAATAATAAACACCTGCAATCATTTCTTTAAAATATCAGGCAGTTCAGAGAATTCCAACAGGCATAAAATTAAGAACCAGTTAACCTTTCTTTTGAACCATGAGAGATCAGTTCATAAAGGAAAATATCTATGTCTCTTGTTTTTACCTATATGGTGTTTACAAATTCCTCTATGTGGAAATCAAGAGACCTGGGGCCTAATCCATATTTAACTTCGTTAGCTCCTAATACTTGAGCTGCTCAACCTACAAGTTATAAAATTAGTGGAAGATTTCTCCCTGAGCTTCTGTGCAGCACTTTCCCTCCTCAGAAGGATATTAATTTCCCTGCCTCCAGGGTTAAATTCTGTCCAACAAAAACTCATTGAATACCTAGCCTCATGCTGGAACTTGATAGGACAGGGAGAAATTTAAGCAGATCTTTTCAACATAGTATGGCAAATGCTTGTGTAGAGGAATACATAGAGTTCTTTACACAACAGAATGCAGGAAAGGCCACTTAATGGGGTGGGATAAGAGAAAGGCACACAGTCAAGGAAAACTTTCTGTATGACTGTGTTTCTCGGGGGAGGAAAGGGGACTGCCTGAGCAGAAGCACAGGGACACGCTGAATGTGGAAATTTACAAGGTATTTGACATTCCCAGCGCATGATATGTGAGGCAGAGAAGCATGAGAGATTACTCTTGGAGAAGAAGGAGGCAGGACACAAGAACTTTGTAAGACATGCTAGGAGCTTGGATTATAAAATGTGGATTAGTTCTTCCCAAATCTGTCTATACATGAAAATTATCTGGTGAACCCATAGGGAACCTGATTAAGACTGGCCAAAGGACCTGGAACTTGCATTTTCAAAAGCTCTTCAGCCAGGGGAACCAGTGAAGTGTTATGAGCAAGGAATAGGCATTATCAGACTTACACTTTAGGTAGATTATTTCAACAGTCGTGTGGAATACAGATTTGAAAGCGGGGAAAGAATAGAGGCCCAGAAACCAGAGGCTGCTGCAATAATCAATGCTAAAATATGAGGCAACCCAGGCCAGGGCAGCGAGACAAGTTAAAAAAGGCGTAAACATGGGAAACAGCAAAGGATGAAACCACATCATGATTGGTTCATTGTGGGAAAGTGAGATAAGGAGAGAGGAGTCGAGAAGGACTTGCAGACCTCTGGCACTGGAAACTGGCAGTCAGCAGTGTGGTGAACAGAGAGTGGTGTGCAGAAGACACAAGTCTGAGCAGGCAGGCTTCAATGAGGAACACAGGTTTGTACTCCTGGAATCTGAGGTGTCTGATGACCAGTCATACACAGGGGTCCTTAGCCATGTTTCAATATATCTGAAACTCAGGAACACTTGTAAGCAGGAGATGGAATCATGGGCACATGATAATGACCCTTGCACCAGTCTTCTTTCTCTGTCCCAACTGCCCTGCTCTAGTCTCTCGCCAGGCTTACTCCAACAGCCTCTTACCTGGTCTTTCTAACTTTAGGCTTGCCTCTCTGGAGTCCATTTTCCCAAAGTCAGCAGCCAGACAAGCTTCCCAGAAGGCACGTTCGATTACCTCATGCAGGAAACTCTCCCATAGATTCCTGTCAACTTTAAGACGGAGCCCATAGCACGAGGCATGGCATCCCTTCTCCAGCTTCTTCTCTTAGCCCTCTCTGCCTTGTAGTTCTTGCTATAGATTGTGCTCCTTGGGCAGCATCACATAGAACACTCTGGGGTGCCCCCCGCTGAGTTCAGCAACACAGCAGCCCCGACTGGCACAACATGGTTCGATGGCTAGAGTTTAATTTTAAGAATCAGCTACTAGGTAAAGCAATGATACCGAATCAAACTTACTACTCAAACCAACTTTTTCTTTCTTAGGCTTGTGTAGCTTGCCCTCAGAGAAGACTATGACAGCAGACGTTCTCAAGAGGAATGAAAAAAGAATTGACCTGTAAGAATACTTTTAATTTTTTTTTACATAGAGGTGTTTCTCAAAGTACAGTGATCTAACTGCTTTTAAGGACCACCTAGCTGCTTGATAAAAATGTGAATTCCTGGGCTGCAGCCCAGACTAACTGAATCAGAAGCTCTGTCGATGAAATGGAAATTTGTATTTTTATGTTATTCCCAGGTAATTCTTATACGTACTAGTTTAAGAACCAACTACTTAAAGATAGGAATTGGCTGGACTCAGTGGCTCAGGCTGTAATCCCAGCACTTTGGGAGGCTGAGGTGAGTGGATTGCCTGAGCCCACGGGTTCAAGACCAGCCCAGGCAACTTGGTGAGACCTCGTCTCTACAATTAAAAAAAAAAAATTTAACTGGGCATGGTAGCACATGCCTGTAGTTCTGGCTACTTGGAAGGCTGAGGCAGAAGGATCACTGGAGCCCAGCAGGTCGACACTGGGGTGGCCGTGAATGTGCCACTGCACTCCAAACTGGGCAACAGAGTGAGACTCCAACTCAAAAAATAAAAATATAAAACAAAATATAAATTTTAAAAAAGATAGGAATTTTTCCACATCAGAACAATTTCCTTGGCTTAGTTTCACTTTAGTGTTCTAAGGTGTCCATGTCACATCCCATATCTTCTCAGGCCATCCACATGCTGTGGGTAGAGAAAGAATGGAATAAGGGCAGTGATGATGACAGTGTCTTGAAGATCTGTGGAAAGTTAGCTGCGGGATCCTCAGCAAAATAAATTGTGAAACAGTTGGTGCAGAGTTCAAGGATTTGTACTTTGTGATGAGGTGAAGTGGGGTTCGACAGTGATCAAGCACCCTTGGAAAGTTGCTTGGGCCTTACTTACATCAAGTGTAAGGAGTTATCTCAATTTGAATTCTAGTTTGTCTCGTATTTATTACCTACTTATATGCCACCCAGACTGCCGGGTGTTTAGGAAATTAACAAACAAATATTGCATTCAACTCTGGGCAAGACACTGAGCTATGCTTTCATAGGCTTTATTTCATGAATCCCTGCAGCTGACGAGTATGTACTTGCTTGGAGTCTTACTCTTGCTTAATAAATACCAAATAATAATCACAGTTATCAACCTTGTCACATTCCTAGTGCTTCCATGAATTCATGACTGTTTATTTTGGTGCCTGTGCTCAGTCTGAGATACAGGCCTCCCAATGGGATAAATTCATACTGTCCACCACAAATTCATTCAAAATTCATTCATGTATCCACATGTCCCTTCATTCTTACCACAGCTATTGAATGCCCACTATGCTATATAATTTAGAACGTCCTGTGACTCTGCCCTGTTCACTCTCTTCACTAAGGTTTGGAGAAAGCCAGAGCCAGATATTGCAGACCAACTACATCGACTACTTGGACGAGCTTGCCTTGGAGATAGGTGCAAAATCAGACTTCTGCTCTCTCCTGTAGAAAGATCCTCAACTGACTGTGAAACTTTATTTTGGACCCTGCAATCCCTATCAGTATTGCTTGGTTGGACCTGGGCAGTGGGAAGGTACCAGGATAGCCATCATCACCCAGAAACAAAGGATATTGAAGGCTCTGAAAGATGGGCTCTGAGGGCTTCATCTAATTTCCCAGTTTCCTTCCTGCTGAAAATCCTGGGACTTCTCACTGCTCTTGTGGCCTTCCAACTTCAATGGCTCTAGTATGTCAGCATAATGCTTTTGCTTTATTATCTTGCCATTCAACACCTCTTAAGGAAAACAAAAAGGTTAAAAGAAAAAACATTAAATTCATGTTCTAAATATAGATTTTAGAGTTAGGAGAAACAAGGAAGAAGGGGAATTGTGGAGAATTAGCAGAATTAGGTCTATGTATAAAGCCAACTTACAAAATAAAATTTGTCATTAAATTCTTCTTTCAAGTCACCAGACTTTCCAAAAAGTGCAATAAAATAACACCTGCCTAGGTAGATAGTGTTGCCAACCCCAATATGCGGGAGTTGTATGGAAAAATAACAGAATTGCACAGAATAAAAAGTGAGCCCAATTGTTTAACTTATTAGACAATTTAATTGGAAGTAACTATTCAAAACTCCTGCACAACATTCCTGATGGTTTTCCCATGCAGACCCTGCTTGGTGATGAAGCTCTTAAATGTGATCTTATGTTCCATTTGCTCAGCGGGAATCACTCAAAACTACTGGAGAAAAAAATGAGAGGCCAGATTTTAAAAAGAGTGGCAATGACAGACTTTTAGAGCCTGATATTGAACACTAAGAAAATAGACACATTTCCTCTATTTTGACAGAAACACTGCTGGAAAAATAAAAAGAAGCATGCCATTATAGATAAAGTACTTATTAGCAGTTTATTTTATTCTGTATTCCTCACAAAATAATTTTAACACTTTGTGCCTAGGTTAGCAGCATCCTGCAACATGGCATTCTTATACACACGTATTCTATCCAAGTACGAATGTTAAAAACAGAGTAACTTAAGCAATTTCCTGTAAATAGACACTGTAGGTTATTTTTCTTCTTGCATCCTTTTTGCTGCATAGTGCATTGCAATTGCATGTCAGTATAGTGTCACCAAGTAATAGAATGTACTTTGAACTGTAAGATATGGCACACTCTATGAGAAGAGAGCGCACATATAAGCCCAAATATTTTGAGTGATTTTTTTTTGTTTGTTTTAACTGCTACAAATTGGAAAGACCAAAAAAAATCGAGCATTTGAAGACCCTAGAAAGTTATTTTTCTTTTCTTTTCTTTTTTTTTTTTGAGTTGGAATCTTACTCCCAGGCTGGAGTGCAGTGGCACGTTCACGGCCACCCCAGCATCGACCTGCTGGGCTCAGGTGACCCTTCTGCCTCAGCCTTCCAAGTAGCCAGAACTACAGGTATGTACTACCATGTCTGGCTAATTTTTTTAAAAATTTATTGTAGAGATGAGGTCTCGTCCAAGTTGCCCAGGCTGGTCTCAAAACTGTGGGCTCAGGCTATCCTCTCACCTTAGCCTCCCAAAGAGCTGGGATTACAAACTTGAGCCACTGAACCCAACCAAAAGTTATTTTTATAATCAACAAAAAAGATAAAATCTTTTAGTACTTCTCAGCTATTCCCTGCCATTTCCTTTTTGGAGCATGTTAAATAGACAAAAAGTAAATATTGAAGTGAAGCTATGTTTGTTACGGGATTGTGGATTAAATTAGTTGTTAAAAAAATCTGCCAGGTAACTACTCATTTACTTTACATCAAGTTGAGATCCTGATACATACATCTAAATTTTATAATTCAAGATTGCAATTAAATACTTCTAATTCCCTTGAATTACCATGATAATAAGACAACTTCATATTTTTTTTAATAAGCACATACTAAGCATTTTCTGACATTACTTCTAAACTCAGATGAAACACAAAATCCTCCCAAAATGCCTATATACTGCCCTAAAAGTTAGTGGTTGAGTTGGTGGCAAAAGCCATCACAAATTAGCATTTCCACCATAGAGTAGATACAAATAAACGAAGATAACTGCTGTTTAAACATCTAATAGATAAGAAATTAACATGAACCAACTAACTGAAGTTAGACGGTAAAAATACTACCATTCCAGTTTGAATATTTTCAATATTCAAGTTTCATATTTTCAAAATGGACAGTAATGCAGTTTCCTTATGTTCTGATGTAATTTCACTTTATGTTCTGTGCCCAGATTGCATATTTAATGTTAAAATTGGGTGGTCACTCATACATTATTAAAATACTCCAGAAAATAAGTCATGAGTGGTTAAACTCATATCATAGTTAGCCATCACAAAACATAATGGAAATAAAGGAATCAAAGAAATGGAGCCATGTAGAAGTAATAAAGAATAGAAAAGCTACCAGAACTAGTTGAACATTGGTAGACAAGCAGACCCAAGATAAAACAAATTTGCAACAGTCTTCCATTGATACAAATATGAAATGTCATGTTTTGTCCATATTAATATTGTATTCTAGATGATAACAGTTTCTGTTTCTAGTTTTTGTAAGAGACTGTCCAATACACAGGACTAGGCAGGCACTTCAGTGACAACATAAAAATTATAGTGGCTAGAAAAAATAAAAAATTACCAGCTATAAATTAATATCAATAACCAAATCTGTACCTTTGACCAGGTTACTAGAGAAGATATATGCATATATAGAAAACTAACTTTTTAAAAAATTTTAAACTGCCTCATCTTTAACCTAAATGTATTATTATGAAGATTTTTTAAGCAGAGTTTCTGCTGAATAAAGCACCATAGATTATGATTGGATTGTAAGAGAGATCTTTGCTGATCCATCCAATATTGATCTATATTCAGAAAAACTGTGTTATCTGGTACTTTGCCAACTGGAATTTTTGAACACCCAGTGTCAATATTGTAGACCACTGTACACCAAATGTCCTGATCATGCACCGGAAGCCTAGACCATAATGAGATTAACAGTATGCTGTTTTCAGGGTGGTAATACAGGAAAAAGAAAGGGAAGCCAGAAGACTACCATCTGGGTCCACAGGAATAACTCTTAATTAATGGTCATTTTAATTGCCACTCTCTGAATGTGCTGGATAAGAAAGCCTTTACTGTATTACATTATGGGGAGGAAAGCAAAGCAAGGAACCCAGTTACTTTGCATAGTATCTCCTGATGGGAATGTTCAGAAATCATTCCCATCAGTAAACCACCTAAAGACAGGACTGAGAAAAATGAGATACAAAAGAGTTTTGTTTGTGCTACCCTAAAGTAATCAACTACAAAAAAGTTAAAAATACTGCTCTTTTCCCTCACATCACACTTAAAATAGCAAAATTTTTTTTTCTTAGACTAATTTTTATACATAAAATAAAAACATGGAGAACCAAAAATCTATAAAGTGATTTTACTTGAGCAATTAATGGGAGGAAGTTGGATTAACTGACTGTAAAGAACTGATTAAAATGTTAATTTAAAATACACTAGCATCTTCCACAAATTACTGTCCCCAATAAATGTATCTTCATAGATAAGCTTCTATCTGAGTCAGAAGAATCTCACAGAATCATTAAGACAACATAAAATGAAACAATAAATGTTCCACATTCTAAGTAATTAACTAAAGGTTCTTCAAACCTCATACTTTCAACTTAAACTGACTTGTGATTTAAGAAAAAATTACAACAAAGTATGGCTGGATGCAGTAGCTCATGTCTGTAATTCCAACATTTTTGGAGACCAAGGTGGGAGGATTGCTTAAGTCTAGGAATTCAAGAACAACCTGGGCAACATAGCAAGACTCCATCTCTGCAGAAAAAACAAAAAAAGTTTTTTAAAAAAGAAGAAATTACAATAAAGTGTTGAGAACTTTTCACTGGTCTACATACTAATTTGGAAGTAAAGAGGATTTAATTATTTCTTTAATGATGCAAGGCACTTTTCTCTTTGGGGCTTCATTTAGAAACAATTAGTATTACACTGTTTTATTATATTCTATTTAGAACCACCTTGGACAAAGGAAAAAAAACTGGGCAACTCTGACAAAATATATAACATTTGACTTTTACCCTCCTCAAAAAGTGCATAAAGGAAAGTCACTTGAAAAAATCTAACACTATTCTTGCTTTTAAATACTTGGTATTATAAAGCTGCTTCTTTTTATCATTAAAACTGTAGTTTTTTTCTATAGAATAAATAAATAAGGAAAGTAGTAGGAATGGAAGCAATAATTAGATTATGGTAAAGTAAGGATGGTTGGCTAGGGCCATGATTTAAAGATTATTAATAAGGCATCAGGAAGTTTTAAAAATAAAACAGTAATTAAGCTATTGAATTATACTGAAAAATAAATGTGGCAGATTCCTGCATTTTATTAATGCTTCTTTAAGAGGCTCCATCATAAAAGTGAAGTGTAAAATTATGTTGAAAATGTATTATATTGAACAAAAAAAATGACTTTTTAGCAAACTTTAGGAAAATCTTTTGCTATAAATTACCCAAACAGAGATCAGAGCTGAAAGAATATTGGACTCTGAGAAAAAATCTCAGAGTATGCTTGGTTCCCTTGTTTTAATTTTTTTATTTTCCTTCTTTGTTTGTTTTACTCATCTTTTTTCTCTTTTCTCTCTCTTCTTACTGTCATTGATAACGTTTTCATACTTGCTTTGTTTCTGTTAGTTTAGTGACTTTTTTTTTCTTTAGACATCATGTTTGTGTAGGGGAATAGCGCATCAGTAAAGAGGTTGGTTGTTGGTTTTGGTTTTTGAATTTTGCTGCTGTTGTTTTTTTCACTCTTATCTGTCTTTGTGTCTCTTTCCATTTATTAGTCAGTACATTTGTCTGTCTTCCTGCTTACTCTTATCTCTCTCCACCTTTCTCTTCCCCCGACCCCCTGTTCCATTCTTTTCATTTTTCTTACCCCATTTTGCTTTCAGGGAGCAAACCTATACCCCCACTGCATGGGCAGATTGCAAAGCAGTGGGAAGTGGGCTCCAGAGTATCCATACACCTGTTGGTGGAAACTGGAATCTGCAGATAGATTTTGAATCACAGTTCACCCCTCAATTAAATCTCAAAACTGCAAATTGTATAGCTCCCAACCTACAGCCCAGCTTCAGAATTGAACAAAGCCAGAGGATTCACATAAAGAAAAATAAGAAGTTGAGCAAACAGAAGTAAAAGCAACTCCACAAACC